CTTTTGAATTCCTTATCAGGGAGTTCCAATGCTGCTTCTTCTTCAGGGATGTGTTCTGGGTCTGTATCCTGCTCCCTTGTTTCTACCACTTTATCCTACTTCTTTGTGTGGACTGTGATGGTCTGTTGTCTGTGAGACATTGTGACACTGTTGTATTTACATCTCTGCTAACTGTTTGTGAAGAGCAGTTAAGGGTGAGCCACGCTCTTGGTGGTTGTTTATTGTTGGCCAGTTGGTGGAGAAGGAAGTGGTGGCTCTCGCTCAGTAAGTAGAGTTACAGGAGGTGCAGGTGTGGTTGCTTCATATGGGCACCGTTGCCATCTCCCACTCAGTTAAGACAAAAATGACAATCGAAAAACCATCAAAAATGTAAAAGCAAGCAGACAAAAACACTGCATAAACACACAGGAACAATCACCAAAAAAAGAAAAAAAAACAAACAAACTCCGCAATATCTGGGGAGGGGGCAATAAGAGAAAAGAAGTAGAGTGGGAGAATAATGAAGAAAAAAATGGGAAAGATGCAAAAAGACAAAGAATGGGGTTAACCACAAGAAAGAAAAAATGGGAATCAGCAACAAGGAAGAGAGAAAAAGCTGAAAACTAGAACCTGGGAAGAAAGACTAAAGAATAATAATAAAAAGGATGAAATAATAACAGTGTTAAAACAGACAAATACAAACTTAAAAAAAAAGGGAAAAAAAAATCTGGGCAGGGAAGGGAACCCAGGCTCCGTGGGAGCACATAGACTGGGATAGAATTCCTGCTGGCCCAGAAGGTAGGTGGGAATAAGGGATGGCTGCACCTCTGTTCACCAAGAGGGTATGGCGTATAAAAGTAACAAAGGGAATATCGCACCTTTCCAGTCATTGGTGTCCAGAATGTCTTTGTGGTCCCTAGCAAGGGGAGCCTATTCTTAGGTTCCTGGATTCTGAGAGAACGTTGTCGCTTTAAATATCCAAAATGGTCGAACTGCTTGCAAACATTCAAAATGGCTGCACCCTCCAGACAGGAGAAAGTCCACAGGTCAGCCTGTCTCCCTCCTCACTGCTTCCCCTTTTGTTCACAAGCCACCAGTGCAGTCCTCCATGCAGCCTCTGGCTAGCAAGGCTGATTTTTAGGTTAATTCTTAGGTCCTAACCCCACCCGGCAATATCCAAGCTGTCCGTGCTGTCAGGATTGCTGATAGACCAAAGCTCCCTATGTCTCCTTTTCGGTGTTTTCATGCAGGTTTTTCTACTTGATAGAGTTTAATTCACTTCTGTATCCTTCCTTTCAAAGCTCAGAGCTCCAGGATTATCTTCTGCACCTGTGTCAATTGGTTCCTCTTTTCTTTGTTGAAGAGGGTCTGTGTAGTTTGCCTGCCTATTCCGCCATCTTACTGGAATCCCTCTATGTACCTTTTCTTAGTCACTGCTTTTATCCTTGCTCAGTCTTAGCTCCTGCCTTTAAGAAGCCTTTCTCCTTCTGAAACTTTCTGACTAGCTAACTTCAGCTATGACAAAAAATACCGATTTTCACTTTAGTAACTTATTGCTGATAATTTTCAATGATTTCTTTCAGAAATGGGCATTCTTTTAAACATTAAACTTAAAGTGAAAACTGATCTAAGTAAATCTAGATTTAGATATGTTGTTCCCTCCCCAACATCTGCTATGTGTTGAGATGGGAAACAGGCACATTCTTTACTGCACCTTGGGTATCAATTAGGTAGTGCTTCACAAAGCTACTGGGCAAGCTGCTCATTTGAGAGAAATGCTAATACTGGCAGCTCCTAATTTATGAGTTTATTTTATTATAAATGTTAGTTTTTAAGACTGTTATCAGGAACTTGTGATGCATTTTTTCACAAGTTTTAAAAGGAGGTACTATTAACAGATAACAGACAAATCTGTCTAGGAAGAAGTACAGTCAGAATGCTCCTTAGAAACAAGGATGGTGAGACTTGTCTCACAAACTTTGGACATGTTATTAGGAGGGATCAGTCCCTAGAGGACATCATACTTGGTAAAGCAGAGGATCAGTGAAAAAGAGGAAGACCCTGAAAAAGATGGACTGACACAGTGACAACAATGGGCTAAAGCATGACAATGATGGTTAGGATGGCACAGGACCGGGCAGTGTTTTGTTCTGTTATACGCAGGGTTGCTATGAGTTGGGACCGACTTGAAGGCAGTGAGTTTTTTTTTGGTTTTGGGATTAATACTGAGCCACAAATTACCATATCCTCTGGGTAACAAATTAAAACTATATCTTGCAAATTTGTAAAGAGAAAGGATTTTGATTGTAATCTTCACAATAGAAAAAACTAAAAAAAGATTATATTCCTTACTTTTTCCATCTATATTCAGGAGAAAGTTGAGTCTATTATTTCAACAAATGATGGCCATATAACCAGAGAGTAATTAGACAATTTGCTTAAACGGTAGAATTTTATTGAAGGGTAATCTGACATCTGTTGAAATTTTAAATGTATGAACCATTTACACCAGTCCACTGGAGGGATGTATCCTGTATACACTATTCAGAAAGATATTAAACATACAGATCCAAGCCACAACATTGTTGGGAGCTCTGGGGGCATGGTGCCTAAGGCATGTGACTGCTAACCAGAAGGCTGGCAGTTCAAATCCACCAGCCACTCCTTAGAAGTAAGGTTGGGCAATCTACTTCTGTAGTGATACTACCTTGGAAACCCAAGGAGGGGTCGCTATGAGTTTTCCACTAAGAAAATTCTGGAAACTTCCTACATATTCTCCAACAGATGACTGGTTAAAATACATGATTGTACATCCATTGAGCAATGTTATGCAACTCATAAAAGAAGGCATATATGATCCATATGAAACAGATCTACATATGTAAAACTATGTAAGTTCTATTATTAATTAAAAAGGACCTCTGGTAGCATAATGCCTAAGCCATTTGACTGATAACCAGAAGGCTGGCAGTTCGAACCCATCAGCCACTCCTCGGAAGGAAGGTTGGGCTGCCTTGGAAACCCAAGGAGAGGTCACTACAAGTCAGGTTTGACTCGATGGCAGTGAATTTGATTAATTAAAAAAAAAAAAAGCATATATACTGTAGTGTATACCAAAATCAAACCCACTGCCATCGATTTGATTTTGACTCACAGCTACCCCTTACAGGGTCTCCAAAGCTGTAAATCTTTATGAAAGCTGACTTCCTTGTCTTTCTGCCACTAAGTGGCTGGTGAATTCGAACCACTTATCTTTTGGTTAGCAGCCCAATGCTTAACCACAACACCACCAGAACTCCTTATTCTATATGGTTTTATCTTTTTGATTCTATTAAAAAAACCCTTCAAAACTATGTAATCTTTTTCTAAAATTACTGGCAAATATGATACATTAGACCACTGGTGACTTACATTTAATATCCGCATACATATGGCTGATGGTAAATCTATCTTTGCCTTCAGGTGCCCAAGCAATTCTTTCTGCCATGAGATATAGTGCTCCATCTTGCTTCTTTTGACGCACCTTCTTTACAATCAGTAAAACTTCTTCAGATGAAGTTGCCATGATGGCTTACAGGTGCCAGCGGGGGGGGGGGGGGGGACGAAGAAAAAAACCAGTTCCTTTAAATTTGGTGTTAATAAGCTACTCTAGTTACATACATATATAGACTGAGGTTGGAAAGGACTGGATAGCTTCATTAATACTATGGACAGAAGTCACACATCAATTCTATGGTTAATTTATTGACTTATAGGGTCAAATCTAAAACCTAAACCACAAGAAATTAACAAGAAGTGGGTCAGTCTCTTTCCTCACTCAATTTTAGATAAAACTTCTATGGCATTATTCCTTTAAAATCAAATTTCATTTTGTTTCTACCTTTGGTTTGATTTACACAATACTTACATAACACCTGGCAGTTTTTCAAAACATTTTCACATATGCTCATGAAAAGTATTTTTATTTTCCTCAGTTACAGTCTTAAATGTTAAATACACAATTGATAACAAATATGTGGTTCTTAATCTATATTAAGAATTATAGAACTTCAGAATCATACAGGACCCTACTGAATAATTAGTTCAAATTTGTTTCAACTTAAGTACAGGCATACATCGGAGATACTGCAGGTTTGGTTCTAGACGACTTCAATTAAATGGATATTGAAATAAAGTGAATTACACAAATTTTTTTGTTTCCTAGTGCATATAAAAAGGAGCTCTGGTACCACAGTGATTAAGGCACTGGACTGCTAACCAGAAGGCTGGCGGTTCAAACCCATCAGCCACTCCTCGGAAGGAAGGTTGGGCAATCCTACTTCCGTAGTGATACTGCCTCGGAAACCCAAGGAGGGGTCGCTATGAGTCGGGGCCGACTCGATGGCAAATAACAACAACAACAACAGTGCATATAAAAGTTGTATTTACATTATATTGTAGTCTGTGTGAAATAGCATTATGAAATAGTATGAAATATTTTGAGAATTACCCAAATGTGACACAGAGACACCAAGTGAATGTGCTATTGGAAAAAAGGCACCAATAGACTTGCATGACCTCAGGGTTGTCACAAACCTTCATTTGTAAAAACAAAACAACAAACAAACCGTATCTGCAAAGTGTAAAAAAATGAGGTGCAATAAGATGAGGTATGCCTATAACTTACAGCCAAAGAGTTGGAGTAACTGTCCCACAGTCTTTCCCAAACCTGAGGCCACACCCAAGTTTCTGGTTTAAGTTTCCTCTTGTGAGTCTGAAAATGTTGTTAGGTGCCTTCAAGTAGATTTCAATTCATAGTGACCCCATGTAACAGAGCAGAACTGCTAATCTTTGCAGAAGGAGCTCTGATGGTACAGTGGTTCAAGCATTTGGCCATTAACCAAAAAGGTCAGCAGTTTGAACTCACCAGCTGCTCCACAGAAGAAAGATGAGGCACTTTGCTTCTGTAAAGATTTACAGCCTTAGCAACCTTCCAGAGCAGTTCTATTCTGTCCTATAGAGTCACTATTAGTTGGCACCAACTCGATGGCAGTGGGTTTTTCGGTTTGGTTAGTATATTCTAGAACTCTTCTTCATTAGGCCATTGTAGAAATGGACTGTAGAAAGAGGACTGATCCTTGGGATTTTACTTCAGCAGTAATAGGATATAATGACTGCATCCCTGGGAAAGGTCCCTCTTAGGCAATCTCTGTGTTTCTACTCTCTGTTTTAATCATGGAACAAAAGTAGAACGAAGCAATAAAAACTTACTTGTCTCTGCACAACTTAATGTCACCAGTATTTCTAAGAAAAAGTAAAAACAAATAAACAACTTTTAGAAGAGCATCCCAAAATCAGGGATGTCTACTACTTTGCAGCTTGACTGTAGCCACGTGGAATACGAAGCTGAAAAGGACTTTGAGGCTGTCAATAGAAAAGATGTCACTGGGATGGGGAAAGATGCAGCACAAATGGCACATATATGCCATTTCTGGTGAAGTTATGATAGGTTTTCATTCCCAAAGAATATTTAAAATATAAATGAAAATTTTTACTTCTCCAGGCATAGTTTAAAGAAGTTAGCATCTGGGGGTCATAAGAATTAAATTTGCCCTGAGCAGACATCACACTCAATTGGCATAACATACTACAAAAAACATTGTTCCACATCTTACTTTGGTGAGTAGCGACTGGGATCCTAAATGCTTGCAAGCAGCCATCTAGATGCTCTGCGTCCAGAGCAAGGAAGAATGAAGAAAACCAAAGATTCATGAAAACAATTAGTCCAAGTGACTGGTCCTCTATGCGATCTTCAGCCTATACAACTATGAGACGAAGAACTAGATGGTGCCCAGCTATCACTGTCAACCACTCAGAGGGGGATCTATGTAGGGGATCCTGGATAGAGTAGGAGAACAATGTGGAACAAAATTCAAAATCATTTAAAGACGAAAAAAAGGGACCAGGTTTGCTGGTCTGATAGAGCCTGATGGAACCACTGAGGCTATGGCCCCTAGGTGCCATTCAGGTCTGGAATGGAACCCACTCCTGTGGCTTCCAGCCAAACAAAAGACAGGCATATGAGTTGAACATGTACCTGAGGTAGATATACTCCTTGGAGTCAATGTCATGAGACAAAGTATATGTGAGCTATTGTATAGAAAATGAATTTGCTCTGTAAACTTTCATCCAAATCACAATTGAAAAAAAAAAAAAGGCAGCTCTGGCTGGGGGTTAAGCTCAGAATGCAAGAAGGGAAAGGAAAGAAAGACGAATGGAAATAGTAAACACAGTAAGGAAGTGAGAAGAATGCCATTACATTGTGGGTATTGTAAGCAATGTCACAAAACAGAATGTGTTAGGACTTGTTGTATGGAAAGTGAATTTGCTCTGTAAATCTTCACCCAAATCACACTAAAAAAAAAAAAAAAAAAAAGAAAAAGAAAAATTTTTGCCCTGAGCAAACAAGAAAACCTGTATCAGCATTTTTCCTGGAGGTTAAAATAAACAAATGGAACAATGAAAAGAGACAAAGAGCAATGAAAAGAGCACCTGCCATTAGTTATTAAACAGCTGAAAATTTCTATTTAGCCTTGAAGTTACCTGAAAGCAATGGAAGACTGAGTAGCTGGCATTAACAATAAAGGAAATTAGCATTCTAGCATAAAGTTATTTGAAAAATGAAAATTCACTTCTTAAAACTATCACCTCCTAGGACTAATGAAAAGTAACGCTGAAATAGAAAAAAACTTATATTCACTCAAGCAGATTTAGAAATAAAACATACAAATAAAAAGTGAAACCTTTATACTCTGAAGTTGATGGTTCGAGTTATGAGGAGCCAGGTCTCTCCTTCTATACGTCTCCTCAGACAACTGAGATGCTCTACTCCAAGAATGGATAGGAAAGGGGTCACTGCAAATGCATTTCTTCAATAAATCTATACAGAATCAAGGAGTCTAGGGGCTATCCAAAAATGAATGTTGCAATAGTGATTTCTGCTTTCAAAGAGGTTCCAGTCCAGTGAGCAGGGTGTGTCTATGTGTGTGTGTTGTTAGTGTTTACAAAGCAGAATGTGTGAAGTCCCAAAAAGGAGACAGAAAATGTTTTGAGTTAGGACTCAGAGGCAATTTCTTCACAGGTGAGGCCTTGCTTAAGATTTCCTAGTCTCTTTTTTTCAAACGAAAACTTGATAAGGTGTTCAGTTTGATGGGCTTCAACAATCGTATACACCCATAGAACCACTACCCAAAATGAGACAGGCACATTTCTATCACTTCAGAAAATACCCTCATGTCCTCTGCCAATCAATTCTCTCTTCCCACCTTCCAGCAAATATTTTCTAATTTCTATCACCATACAGTATTTTTTTTTTGGTCTGTTCTAGGATTTCATATAAATAAATCATATAGTATATATTCTTTTGTGTCTCACGTAGCATGATTTTGAGATTCACCATACTGCTGCAGGTACTAGTAGTTCATTTTTAAAAAATATGTATTAGTTATGAATTGGGTCTTGAAGACTAGAGAAGATTCTAACAGAAAAAGTTAAGAGAATGGTTTGGGGCAAATGCTTGAAAACTGTTTTTGATTTTTGGTTTGTGGTGTTAATTCTGACTCATGCTGACCATATGGGTGCAGAGTTGGACTGATCCATAGGGTGTTTAAGGCTGTGGCCTTTTGGAAACAGATGACCAAAATTGTCTTTGGAGGAGCCTCTAGGTGGATTTGAACTGTCAACCTTTTAGCTAGTAGTCAAGCATTTAATTGTTTGTATCACCCAGAGGGGAATGGTAAATAGTTTGCTCTGGCTGCAGCATAAGGTTCATGATAGAAATCAGTGGGTATGAAGGTGGAAGGAGAAGATGGAGCCAGACAGCGGAAAACAATGCTACCCTATGGAGCAGACAACAGAAGGCCTCTAAAGAATTCTGAATAGGACAGTGATTTGTATTTTAGCAAATTAATCCAAAGGCAGTATGAAACTGGGGAGAGGAATGAGAAGAGGTCCAAACCAGGTTGATGGCAGTGACAACAAAGAGGAAGGGATAAGAAAGGAGTACAAG